TTGTTATGGTGACAGGAGGTAAATGAAACTGGGAGAGGAGGGGGAAATGTTACTGTGGGAAAGGGGCCTCTGTGCCTTATATAAGGCAGGTTCCAAAAATACACTTTTGAATAGGAGGCAAGCAGTGTACACCCAGCTCCCAGGCACTGCATGGCATCGTGATAGCAAGAAAATTCCCCCAGAGTCCTCCAAGCCTATCTCTGGCTTCATTTTTATTACTCTGGGGTCCTAACTTATTATGATTCCTGAGAAAGGAATCTGGTTACCAGAAATATCTACATTCCAGAAAAGGAGCAAAATATGAGTAAAATGGCTCCTTCAGGGGGTAAACTGACCTCCCCAAAATTAATCAATTGATGGCATCATCTTGTTTTTAAAGTAATCAGGGAATGCAATTTATTCACTTCTACTTCTGATTGAATTATAAAAAATTTTTTTTTCAAGCTACCCAAATACCTTTTAATAAGGGGTGAGGGAGAAATTTTCTGTTGATTTTCCTGATTTCCATCCCTTACCGTATGAGCTTAGCTTTGAATTGAAGTAGAAGCTGAAGGTCAATGGAGCATTGTAGCAAAGCGAAGAGAACCCTGGGGTAGAAGTCGGGGGACCCACAGCTCATCTGCTCTGCCTCTAACAGCTTTATGATTTGGGGCAAGTACTGACCTCCTTCTTAGTTTCATCTTGTATGATTCAGAAACACTATACACACAATTCTTAGGCTGCCCCATAGTTGGTGACGTAGCTGTCACCATCAGCATAACTATAAAGTCTGACTGGCCACCTGGTGACCTAAAGAACTCGAGTTTGTCTAAGGCTTTCCCCCATGTGTCATTTCATATGATGACCATGACAATCCAGCCCAGGAAATGCCATGATCCCATCTTATAGACAAGATCAGAGAACAAAGCCACTTGTCCAAGCTCCTGGAGCAATGATTGGAGATTGAGGACATCGCCCCAGACCTGATGAATGCCATGTCCAGCGACTTGTGGACATTGCTCCTCTGTCAGGGATGCTTAGGAGGAAGATTCCTGAACCAGGAAGTTGATTGGCATGATGGTTTCTAAGGTCCCTTCCAATTCTAATAGTCTGTGCTTCCATCCATAAAATAAGGGGGTTAGATTAAACCAAAGGCTTTAAAAACTTCTTGTAGCAAAAAAGCTTCTTTCCCCTCAAATGAAATCTATGGTAGAATGCCAAAATAGAAAACAGATCATTCTGGTTGAAAAAGAGATGGCTTCCACCAAATGCCCATCAAGTGACAAATAAATATAAAATGTGGTCTATCCAAATAATGGAATATTATCTATTTATATTTTTTATTTATATAAAAGCCCACACGACCAGCCGCCCAGCCAGTAGCTATGATGTGCACTGACCACTAGGGGGCAGACACTCAACGCAGGAGAAGAAACCAAGGCACGGAAACATGGAACAGACTAATGAATCTCAGAGGGAAGGGGGGAGGGCAGGAAGAGATTAACCAACGATCTTATATGCATACGTGCACGGATTCATCCACTGGTAGGATCCCTCGGCCTGGCCTGTGCCCTCTCGCAGTCCAGGACCCCTCGCTCTTTACTGTCCTCCTGCTCGCTGCTCCTTAGCACTGCTGTGGAGGCGGGAGAGGCTCTTGCCATGGCCACTAGGCTCACCAGCCATGAGCCTGGCTTCTGACTGAGCTGCACTCCCCCTGTGGGAGCGCACTGACCACCAGGGGACGGTTCCTGCATTGAGCGTCTGCCCCCTGGTGGTCAGTGCGCATCATACTGACCAGTCATTCTGGTAGTTCCACTGTAACAGGTTGCTTAGGCTTTTATAATATAGATGTTATCACAGTTCCAAATAGTTCTCATATGACAGAGATTTTATTCCTAACCCAACAAATAAATATGCCTGGGCCTGTTACATCTTGCTATTTGGAAACAGACGTTTCCATTGGCAACCAGCATCAATGCCAAAGTGACCTAGTAGCTTCAGTTTTAGGATATATTATTGGTTTTAAACTCAAAATTCTACTTTAAATATACAGAAAAGATAACAGGAAGTAAGCATTGTTTTTTGTGTTTTTTAAAAATGTTTTAGTAGATAACTTTATTGTTGGGTAGTAAACGAAGCATTATTAAGTGCCTACTATATATTACAAATTTTGCACATTGTTTCATTGAAATGTTATTATCTCCATTTTATAGAAAAGTATACTGAGGCTCAAAACTGCTTTGCAACATCCCCACAGTCAGAATTTGAATCTCAGTCTCTCTAGATCAAGAAAAAGCTCTTTCAACTATGCCAAAGGGTATCAGCAAGTTCTCTCCCTGGAGAAGGCATGAGGACTGATTTCAGTGCCGCCACGAACATGACTGCAGCCTACAGGCCCCCGAGGTGTGTGAAGATGCATGATGCACAGACACATGCATCCCAGGCCCTTCTAATGTCCCCTCTGCATCTTCTCAGAGGAATTTAGAGATTTGAGCAGTTCAGGCAACTATCTACCTTTTGCCTTCAGTCTGTGCAGAAAAATGAAGACCCACCTCAGAAGTCTTGCTGACAAAATGACTTAAGAAGGAGCTACTGAGGGACAACTTTTGCTAACAAGATGGAGAGAAAGGCTAGCATACCCTTTGTTTTCAAGGGTTTAGGTCACATCCTATGCAAACGCAGAAGCTCTGCCTTCTAAAGGTAACTTCCAGCTGAGAAGTCTATGTGACATCATTTCCTACAGTTGGAGTGGCATGGTCTCAGATGTGGACACGGGTGATTCAGTGCAACCCTGTGACTTTTTTGTGGCCATAAACATGGTGCTTTTCCAAGCTATTCTAAACATTTCTACACAAAGGAGTGGAGACGAATTTCAGCCTTTTTCTCTGCCTGGAAAAGTTATCAAAATGATCATAATAATCTCTTGTGTAGAAGTACACCTCACAAATTACAAAACGCTTTCATGAACAATCATTGCTGTTTTTTAAAGATGAAATTAAGGGAAATATAAATAATCACATTTAGCTATTAACATATACCCTTCATATTGTAGGTAAGGAAAGGGTGAGATGAAAGAATTTTTATATTAGAATTGAAGTCAGGTTCTTGAAGTTCAAACTGCTCCTGGTTATCAATTAAAAGAAAAGTCAATGCTTTTTAAATTAAAGATGAAGTGCTGCCACTTATGACTTAATAAGTTGTAAATGCCTTTCCCATCCTTCCTAATGGCTCTGTGTCCCACTGCTATTAAAAATCACATCCACAGCTCACGTGAGCCATGCCGAATGCCAGGTGTCGGAGGTAAAGCAAACAACTTAGAACAAGAAAAAGAAAGCAAATCACGTTCAGATCCACTTAATGCAAAAATGATTTTGGTGGCAGAGTTTGAGAGGGCTGGGGCCACACAATGGCCTTTGAACTTGTACCCACCGAAGGAACCAGAATGCTAATGTATCAAGGTCACCTTTAAAAAGCTTGTACCACCATGCCACCAAAATCTCACCACAGTCTTTCAAGACCTAATCTCTACTGGTGAGATCAATAACCATTAGATACTCATCATAGATTTTCGAGAAATGAGTTGTATTGCAATTAATTTGACCAAGCTGCATTAATCTGTCGCTTTTCTATAAAGATGGCTAAAGAACGCAGCTGCAAGCATGCACACATGGACATTGTCTGGCTGCCGTAGTGTTTGAGTTGCTCCGAGGACTTGGCAGACCTGCCACGCTGTCACTTTAAATGTCTAATGGGTGAAAGCCACATCTGGCAGGCTCGGCCCATGCAAATGAGAGGTGACTGTCCTTGGCTGAGTCTTGCCAACAATGACAGTGTTCACCTCACACGGTGAAGTGCACTATAGAGGGGAACTCAGTCAAGCAGGCACCACCCAGCCTGACTCAGAGTATGTATGACAAACACTCCATCAGAGTGACATTTCCTGCAGGGCAGTGGTGCCAACCATGGCTGCATGGTAGAGTCGCCCAGGAACCTCAGAAATGTCTGTGGCCAGGCTTCCCGCCCTGGCTAGTGAAAATCAACATCTGTAGAAGGGGGCGGTGGGGCGCCTCGCACTGGTGTCTCTGAAAGCTCTCCAGATGATTTGAGAATGCAGCCAAGGGGAGGGCAGTACTACAGGGTGGTTCTAACAGTATTTGAGCTTGAGCCCAGTTGGTGAGGGGCTGCAGTCCAGGAACCTGCAAAACACCACTTGCTTAGGGAAGTCAGCCTTGAACCATAGCTGACAAGCGCTTTACTTGTCTGGGAGCATTTGGGTCGATCTCATTTGTCGGGGGTACGGGGAGTGCTATTTGAAATGCCTGTCTTTGATTTTTCTGCCTAAAACCACCACAGTGATATTTACTCAACCCTTATTTTGTGGAAGCCAGGAATTTAGGGAAAGCAAAACAAACAAAATACCCAAGTGAAATGTCATTCATTTCAGGGGTGATTCCATGGGAGCGGGACATGCTTTCACCAACATCCCAATATGACGTTCACTGGGTAGGTGGGACTGACAGGAGCTATAACTGTTGTGAATATTATAGAAGCACCAGAAGTCAATAAATTGGCTCTGCAAATATTGACATGAAAAGTTTATACTGCAGAGAGTGCAGCCATCGTGAAGAAAATAAAAAGGAAGCAATCTTTACTCACCACGTCCATGGTACCTATGGCCCTCTTTTGATTTGTTTTACTCTCTCCCTCTGCTTGAGGATTTCAAAGAGGAACACCACGTGAACAGTGGTGGGCAAGAGGAGGCCCCGTCACTAGGGGGAAGTGGGCTTTTAGTGAGACTTTCAGATTCAGATAACAGCTAGCTAGAAATTCATGGGCAAGTCTCCATCTCCCGAGTCACTATGTTTGGAGCCTGATATTCATAAATGAAAAAATGATTCATTCGATTATTTCATATGTAAATCTCACTCATGACGTTAACATGTTCCAAGAACTTAACTTACCTGCTGCATAGGGCATGGGGAGCAGTGTTGATAGAAATAGATGATACAAAAAGCACTTACTGGTTCTCTCTTTTCTTCCTCAGTGGGTCCATGAGGCGCAGGGTGTCTCTGATCACGGCCACTTTCACCTCCTCATCAACAAGGCTGGGGACATTTTCAAACACCCCTGGAGAAAGCTTGAATGGTAAGAATTCCATGTTACAGTGGAGAGACTCAGGGATTCAGTATCAAGTGACTGTCAGTACCCAGTGGTCGAGTTTGCTTATGTTAACTAGATACGAATATTTTAAAGGCTCCTTGTATATGACCTTTAAAAAATGTCAGTTTCCTCTTACAAATTAACAAAATGCATGAGGAGGAAGAATAGTAGTATTTTTTTTTATTATTACAATTATACATGCTCACTGTAGAAAATTTAGAGATATCGAAAGGAGTTAAGAAAATTAAAAGAATCCACATAATCCCCCTAAAACCTATTACTAGTATTTGGTGTATTTCCTTCCAGTCTTTTTAATATATTTTTCTCGGGGGGGACCGGGGGGGAATATAACCACTGTTAAATGTACTATTTATCTTAGTGATTCAAGCATGTCGACATGGCTAAATCATATTCATAGAATTTCAATTAGTTCATCTCCCGAGGCTAATTAGTTCATGTCAAAACTGATGGAAAGGCTCAGCTGCTTCTACATTTCCAGATCTTAAAAATGGGAAGAACAGCATGCTGGGAAATTACCACAGGTCGGATAGGTCTTACATTAATAGACTATGTTCAGAGCTCAACAAAACTGGAGTTATTTAGACTCGAACAGAACTTTGCTGTGCATATTTGGGAATGCTGAATCTTGTTTAGCCAAGTGAGTAATAAGAGAGCAGAAACATCCAGCTGTACAGCAATATATTCAATGAGATACTCAAAAGACTTACTTCTTGCTCATGCTCAATTCTCATGCTGGGATTTGCATTAACTTCAAGTAGTATAGGCTTCAGATTTTTCATTAGAAGAATGTCAAAGCCTAAAATCTGCACAGGATAAAAATAATTCAGAATTACTCCCTCTAGCTGCAATTTCTTTTCAGGAATTGGGGTTGGTGTAAAGGTCAGTAAAGTGAAAATAAATTGAAATGTGGCCCCCAACCTGGGCCTTGACCCTGGCTTCTCTTGTCCGCAGCCCCTCTTCCTCTGGGCATACTTGTCAAGCCAAATGGACAGCAGAACATTTTATAGGAGCCTTGATAATGGGATGAGTTCCCACAGTGCATTGCAGCACTATCACCATCATCTGAAGTGCTACCGATGATGACCTCTTTCTTCTTTAACAGGTTTTTCATTATGTTAAGGATCAGTAGTAGTCCATCAACTTCTCCCTCTCCTTTTGTTCTCCTCTATTAAGTTGCTTCTTAGCTAGATCTCTGAAAACCCAAGGCTACCTTTATTAACCTTGGGTGTATATCAGTATCACTTAAGGACCCCTTTCACAACCACTGTGCATCCCCAATCCACACCTCTGAGTCAGGATCTTCCAGATTGGAACGCAGGCAAATGTATTTTGAATAACAAATTCCCCTGATGATTCTGATATACCATCTTAGCTAAGGAGAAGGGAATATTTATTAAGCACCTACTAGGCACCAGTAACTTCATCATCTCATTTAATCCACATAACAGTGTATTTGAGGTAGAGATTATACTCTCCATGAAGCAGAAACTGAGTCTCAGAAAGGCCAATGGATTTACCCAAGACTGCCTCCCTAGTAAGTGACAGAGCCGAATTTCACACCCAACCAGGACAGGCTACATAATTTGTGGGACCCAATGCAAGATGAAAACACAAAGCTCCTTGTTCAAAAAGTATTAACAATGTCACAATAGTGAGAACAGAGCACGAAACCAGGCACGGAGCCCTTTTGACCATGGGGCACTGGGTGATTGCGCAGATCACATGCTCACAAATCTGGCCCACGCCCAAAGCTAACTCCAAAAGCTAACCATTTGTTGGCCATCTGCCCTTGAACCCAGCATGCTGACTTGGTGAGGCTTTCTCCTCTTCTAGCCTCTTTCAATTCCTTACAAGCCCTAAGCCACCCGTGCATCTGCCTGAAACAACCCTTCACCTAGATAATTCCTCCTCATCCTTGAGATCACAGGTCCTAATTAGATTCAGACTCAGACAGTAAGGATGTCAGGCTCTTAAGAGACCTCTCATTATCTCTACCGGAGGTGATAAGATAGAAAGCTTATAACATAATTGATGCAATCCCAAAGTTTCAAAAAATAATGTGGAGAATAAAGGAGAGAAAAGAAAAAGATATAGCTGCACCCTCCTCTGTAGACTCAAGAAGATGGGGGAAATTCATTTACTTGTCTAGATAGAATATGTATCAGTTAAATGATAATTATTAAACTGTGGCTTTATCCTTATTAATGAAATCAGAGCCTAACTGACCATTTGGGGGGATAATTCAAGACAAGATTATTCTTCAAAGAAGGGCAATAAGGATGAGAAGCTGGGAAAAGTCATCCTCACTCTATTTTTCTTTCCCTGGTCATGAAACGAAAAAAAATGGTAATCCAGTAGAAAATGTTACATGTATTATAGATCTGCTTAATAATATATGACAAGTGAATATGAGTGATGAGGCCTTTAAGAGACTCTGGTGACATCATCCGTCTAACTTCAGACCTGGTCTGAGACATGTGATGTGGATGAGGCCACAGGGAATGGCGGGCTGCAGTACCAACGTTTATCATCCTTGGTCATCAACGTTTATTTTTTGCTACATCTTAGAAGTTTGGATTCCCACTTTCTCAGCCTGCTGGGCTCATTCCAGTTCAACACACAGTGGTTTCGTGAATATAAAGTTATAGAATGCTGGAGAAGGGGTGACAAAACTTCCTCAGCCATACTGACCTGAACCTGCCAGTGGCGTATTTTCCAGAACCCAAACTTTGGTGCCTATAATTGAAGATGTTGGATGCATGTAGTTGAAAAATGGTTTGGAATCAGAAAGACCTAGGCTGCAATTCCAGCTCAGTATCTCATTCTAGTTAAACAACTCTCGGTATGGTGCTTAGCCTCTAGGAGCTCATTTACCTTGTTTATACTAGTAATTGGAGATAACAGTGGCTACCTTGCCGGGCAGTTGATCATGGAAGGAAAAGGTACCTAGGACTATGTTCATCATACAGGAGGTATGATGACTCAACATATGCTGACTCCCTTTCCAGTTTCCTACTCGTCTCACTGACAGGAAATGGCATCGGTGGCTTTGGAGTCCAGAGGAGCTAATTTCAAATTTTAGTTTTGCCTTTAACTTGTGTATCTACAGGCAAGTTCCTTAGCAGCTCTAAGCTCCAGTTTCCTCACCTGTAAAATGGGAATAAGAACAGTCCTTACCTTAGTTCATTCATATGTAAAATAGCTATTGAAATGCTCCCTATGTCCTGGAACTATTTTAGCTTCTGGAAATACAGTGATGAACTAGACCAAGTCCCTGCCCTCATGAAGCAGGGAAGCAGGACCAAATAAAGACAGAATGTATTTTGCACAGTGCCTGACTGTAAATATTCAATGAAAGTCAGCTTTAGTATATGTATTTTTTCACAATATCAAGGAAATATGAGTTGTTTTCTTTTCAAAAGTTCAATAAAATATGTTGCACCAATGGATCTCAATAAACAGAATCATAGAACGGAAAGGAGCTTAGAGTGGATCTTGTCGTAAAATCCAAGAATGATGAGCTGGCAGAAAATTGGGATTTACTTGATCCAGTGTTTTTTAAAACGGGGCGTTTTCTTTCTGGGAAAGCACTGGAGAGGCCAGATCAGACCAGCTTCTACCTATATTCCATACTGGGGTTCCTAGGAAAAAATTCCATTAAAAAAAATTACTAATCTAGTCTAATACCTGCGTTGTGCAGACCAGAAACCTGCAGCTTAGGAAGGGGGAGGCCTCTCACTGGTTCCATGGAAGAACAGGAATTGTCAAATGGTAAGAGAGAGAGAGAAGAGAGAGACCTTTTCAATTATGTGATACTCTGTCCTCCTCCAAGTAATTCAGTCAGCACGTATGTGTTTCTCACCTCCTACTTGAGCGGTCCCTGGGGATTCAAAGATCTCTAGCCTTCATCTCTGACTTCTGGTAGCTTCCAAAGTTGGGGAGAGCACTAATGTGAAGGCTCCAAGCTACATTCCAAGGAGAGGGGATTCTTTCCTGAGATCCAAAACTACACATCCTCCTGCATCCAGGGCATTCCAACTGAGGTCCCAGACTCCTCAAATCAAACATCTCCAAGCTCACTATCTGTGGTCGGCAACCTCTAAGGTCCCAATGAACCCGACCTCCAGGTGTTCATGCCCTTGCATAATCCCCTCTCTTTGAGTGTGGACTGAACCTGGTGACTTCTTTCTAATAATACAGGGCAGAAATGATGGGACGTCACTACCAATATTGGGTTATAAACTATCGTGACTTCCACCTTGGCATGCATTCCCTTAACTGTCTTGCTCGCTTACTCTGAGGGAGGCCAGCCTGTGTTGTGAGCTGCCCAATGGAGAGGCCCAGGTGGGACAACAGGTGGGGGCAGGAAGCGGGGACCTGAGCCGGCAGCCATATGAGTGAGCTTGAAAGAGCTTGGGATGACTGCAGTCCTGGCCAACATGCTCACTGCAGCCTTGTGAGAGACTTTGAGCCACAGGCAGTTGGCTAGGCCTAGACAGAAACTGTGAGACAATAGTTTACTAGTTTAAGCTGCTAAGTTTAGGGGTAATTTGTTACACAGCAATAGATAATTAACATACCATCTTTCTAAAGTCAACTTTGCCCCCGGTATTCCTTATCCACCCAGTCACACAAGCCAAAAATTTCTCCTTCATCCTTTCTATCTACCTGCACAACAACTATTGCACATTCTACCTCCCAAGAACTGTCTAGATCTGCCCTCTCCTCACAGCTCCTAGTCTGGATTAGGTCTGCACCATCTTGCACTGGGACTTTCCCATTTGTTTCCCTGATCCCAAACTCACCCCTCTAATTCAGCAGGCACAGGGGGCTGACACAGTATTTTTATAAAATGCAATTAGAATATCAACACTCCTCTGCCTAAAATCCCCACCTACAGAATGAAGTCCACATTCCACAGCCTGGCCTACAATTTCCTCTATGGTCTGGCATCTGTCTCACACTCAGCTTTCTTTTCCCCCACTCACTCACTACTGCACATCTCAGGCTCCAACTGTGCCGAACTATGAGTAGTTCTAGAATGCTTTACTCCCCTCTGCCTTTATACTATTTTGCCTGGAAGACAATTTTACTTATCAAATATTTAATGAGCACCTACTAAATACTAGGTACTGTTCTAGGCACTGGGGATAAAGCAGTGAACAAGGCAAAGGATGTTTTAACATCCTGCCCTTTTGAAGCTTACATTCCAGTGGAGAGAGACACACAACATGGGAATTATGAACTAATGCAAGGTAAGAACATTGAGTGTAACAGTGGGAGAAAGGGAGGGTCTGGTGGTTTAGATAGGGATGGTTAGGGAAGTCCTTTCTAAGGTGACATTGGTCATCCCACTGTCTTCTGACTTGTATAGTTTCTGATGTGAACTTTTTGGTTACATTAAGTGGTTACATTTTAAAGCCTATTTGCAAGAGTTGCTTATGGAATGGATGTAGAAAGGAGGAAAAATAATTACTAAGGATGACTCTGAACACAATGTGTGTTTATTTTCTCTCTAGCTGCTTTTAAATTTTCTTATCATCATTGGTGTTCCATAATTTAATTATGATAAGTCTTGAGTGTGCATGTGTGTGTATGTGTATGTATCCTACTTGGAGCTTCTTAAGCTTCTTCAAGAGTTGCTTATGGAACTGTGGGGTTTATATTTTTGTCAAATTTGGAAATCTTTGGCCATTTCTTTAAACATTTTTCTGTATATTCCTTGTCTCTTCTGCTCAGGGAACTCCAATTATACATGTTAGACCACCTGCTATTGTACTACAGGTCACTGATGGTCTGTTCA